GCACTGTCGTTTTCAGAAAAAGGCTCCGTTCGCGACAGGGATGTGCTCAAGCTTGTGAGCTTCTGCATTCTGTGTTAATCGACCACATGTCAATCCGGAAATGTCTGAAGTTGTGACAAGTCTCATAGGACGGCACGTCCTACTTGGGGCAGCAAAGTTAGTGTCCGTTATATGCCACATCAGTTAAGCATCGAGGAAGATGTGCTAAACAGTCTTGTTGGTACCAAAATAACGCATGCGACGAACTTTGCAAAGCATTTGCGCATCCAGTGTTGCAAGCCGTTTTGGTAGACAATCTCGATACATATCCGACAACAACAGGTACGATATTCTGGAAAATAGCACGCTTTTTTGTCAGTGTTATAGATAACTGCTATGATTAAGTGCTGGTGGAAAAATCCAATAACTAGACAGAAATTCGGTGTAGAAGACTGCGCTTTCATCTTCACAAAGCACGTTTTAAAAATTTTTGCATCAAAGAATTATCATTGATTTCAGCATGTAGGTTAGGCCATAACTGCACTTAGATGAATATGCAGAGGAGAACCTCTTTAAGTTATTCAAAAAAATCAAATCTGTTTATCACGTTTTTTGGACAATACGGTCGATAACGGCAGGCGCTTTCTTTGGAGCAAGCCCTGTTCATTCCGTATTCTACATCTGTTTATTGATGGCAACGGCTCTCGTCACACTCTTGGACGAACTGATCGGCGCTGTGGTAGTTTTGGGGCTGCCTTCTGAGCGTTCCACATCGTTTCAGAAGTTCCATTGCTGTTTTTGTACCACTCACTGGTGTAGACGACACTCGCCGCGTTTTCCGACAACTCGCTGACCGCGCAACATTTCTGCCTTTTTGTTTACTCCTCATCGAGGGCGGCAACCCCTGCTGATGTCGCCATCGATCTTATCAGCGGAGTAGTTTCGCTGATGCTGGATCCTATCGATTATCGACTTGAAAGGGCAGAAGCACCCGCGTCTAGCTTCCTTGTATTACCGAAAATGCAAAAAAAAAAAAAAAAAGATGGGAAGATGTCTTTTGTGAAAATTAGTGATCCAAATTTCGTCTCTATCTGCTTCGCAAACAGGCAGTTTTTCTAACTCAGGATAGAAGTGCCATAAAAATATGAACAAAGACACGGAACTAACCTCGATGGGAAGCCACTTTGCATAACTTTCAGTGCGCTTGACATACCCGCACATCTGAGCTGCACCAGAATCTGTCCGCCGTCAAACTGACCTGGTTTCATTTCCGAATTCGGCTTGATGCAACGCACAAAATGAGTACCCTGAAGAAAACTAGCAAGCTCCAGCAAATCTTTATGCTGATACTGCGGCTTCTTAGATGGAGGCCGCTTCATAACTTTCCTAAATGTTGAAATGATATGGTAGAGGTTATGGGACATCGGTACAAAAATATTAAAATAAATTAGCTGCTCTAGCAGGAGTTCGAGATGTTCATGTGATGCGCGGTAAAATGCTATGAAAATACATTGGTCGCACCAAAAACATTGCTTCAGCGAAAGCTACAAGCAACAGATGAACATACTAGTGTGGTGATTGGGTAACAAGTTAAAAACACTAAGAACGCTCAGGCGAACGGAGATTTCCAGATTCTACTAGGATGCCATTAGGATTCAGCATCTCCGAGACCAAACCAGTCATCGTGATTATTCAGCGTTCGTGATTTTACTGGGATGCTTTCATACGCTGCCCACAACTACGCCAGGCTCATAGTTATATCGTTAAAGGCAAAAAAATCCATACCGTGTCATGCAGCTTCTGAAGCAATACACCAAGCTGTGAACGGAATTTTTCACCA